ACGCGGTAGCGTAATTGGTTGAGGCACTATGCTACAAGCCGGAAGGTCGCGGGTTCGAGTCCCGATTAGGTGGATTTTTTAAATTTACCTAATCCTTCCAGCCGCACTCTGGCCCCGAGGTCGACTCAGCCTCTAACAGAAATGAGTACCAGGAATCTTCCTGGGGGTAAAAGTGCGGCCGGCTCGTAAGGCTGACAACCTGGCCGCCATCTATGAGCCGACTCTCTAGAAAATGTGGAAGCTTCGACCTCTCACAACCCTATGGGCCTGCACGGTCTGTTACAAGGATACTTTTACTTTACTTTTTACTATCTTTGCCCACATCGAGGTCACTATTTACACAGGATAACACGGCATAAGGTAACGCGGACTTAAGCCCATGTTCCCAGCAGAATTTGAAGCTGTGCTCGAGCCGTCCAAGTCCGTACATTTCTGTTCTCCATCGGATCCTACTCTGCCATCAGTTCTCTTAGAAGACAGACACATTTAGCAGGAGTATAAGACAGTGGAAATGTAAAATCATTAGGATATACATTGCATTTACGATTTACCTGATCTCATTTGTTGCCCGTAGTGGATCCATGATTTTAATGAACATCCAGCGGGAAAGTTGGAAAAAATCACTGGCAATAATGTCTGTAAGAGAGCGTAGTTTGTGAAATTAATATAAAGCATGTCACATGGGTCCACCAAAATATTTTTTTAATTAATATGTTTCAAACAACGAAAACAGCTCGTAATTTTTGTTAAGTTAGCTTTGCCTTTGTTATAATTTCTGTTAGAATATGTAATAAATTATTTAAATTATAGAAAATAGAATTTAAACTAACATCTGCCCTGTAAATTAAAATATCAGCAAAACACATCACATTGAAACCAATGGAGAGTCCTCATAACATCACTAGGGACTCTTATACAAAACTCCAATTTCGACAAGGTCTCTTTAATGTGATAAGAGGCTGTCCCAGGTTCTTCCTTTGCGATCCCTTGCCCTTGTAAAAATATCACACAGAATTTGACGCATTGTATTATACTATGCAATGATTCGGACCTATTCAGTCTTTTTACCTATATATTTCAATGGCATAAAGAATAGTTTAATTGCTCTAGAAGGGTCGAAGTCGCTCACGGAGCTGAGCCCTTCTTGTGGAGCCTCCAATTGCGCAACTACTCAAGACTTCCCAGCATTTTATGGAACGCGAAGGTTCATTACCGTGTTCACAAGAGTCCCCCACTGGCCCCTATCCTAAGTCAGATCGATACAGTCCATACCATCCCATCCTATTTCTCTAAGATCAATTTTAATATTGTCCACCCACATAAGCCTTGGTCTTCCTAGTGGTGTCTTTCCTTCTGGCTTCTCCACCAATATCCTATACGCATTCATCTTCTCACGTTCGTGCTACATGCTCTGCCCATCTCATACTCTTTGACCTTATCATTCCAATCATACTTGGAGAAGAGTACAAGTCATGAAGCTCTTCATTATGTAGTTTCTTCCAACCTCCCGTACTTCATCTCTCTTCGATCCAAATATTCTCCTCAGCACCCCATTCTTTCTAGTAAAATTATATATTAAAAAGAAACATACATATATTTTATATAAAAACAACTACCGTAACCCACGGATGTTTGACTACACTCCATGCTCGGGGCAAGCAGTGACTGGGTTACATCGTACACCACTTAGAGAGGCAGGCCCATTAACATACACAATGATGAGTTCTATTTTCTGGGATATAACGCCGTGTAGTCCGCTGAAAGTCAACCGATGTGTCGGAGGAATATGTTGCCTCCATCTTCATGAATTAAAATAAGCCAAGCAAGAACCCAGGGCGAAAGCAGATGCGGAGGCAACATGTTCCCCCGAAACATCAATTTAATTTCATCTGACTACACGGTGTTATATCCAAGAAGGCAGAAAGCTTCATACCCATCGCTGTGAGGACCTTAAATCCTACATAATAACGTGTTTTACAAGAATTCGTTTTTACCGCAAGAAAATAAAATAAATGAAATTAGCAATTTTTGAGGTACAGATAATTTTGGTGCTGCAAGTCAATACTCATTATTGGGAGTTCGAATTACCGAGGGTCCGCTTTATAATATCTGAAGTCGATACGATTTTGCTTGTAATCTAAGCATTAAGGAGACAGTCCAATAGCCTGTGCACTATGTTAGCCATACCGCAGATAGAGGTACTCACAGTATTGAGCTGAGTTGAGTTCAGTCCACCAAGCAGGAACAGTACGCTGGAACAGATGCCTTGTGTGGGAACACCGTCCCGACAAAATCTCTGTACCAGTCGGCCTCGCATCCAATTGTTGGGAAAGAACTCACTGTTGTACAAGCTGTCAACTTCGGACTGAGACACACAAATATTGTATTGTAACATCATGTTTTGTTTTATTTATTTCCGCCTGCAAACATTTCCGTGTTGATACAGTATACTTTAGGTATGTTACATGTTTCGGCCTTTCGGACATCATCAAGCATTGTACTCCTACATTCACTGTTAGCTTGACTGCACTTTCCTTGACGTAAAAAAGACCATAATACGGAATATATCAAGTGTAAGCAGGGAAGGTGTGTTCAAACTGTACAATACCTGATGATGGCAGAATGTTCGAAAAAATGTACGGGAATATAATGAACATATAGTTAAGTTATGTGTACAGAAATTTGTGCTGACGGAAATAAACACAATTGACGAATGTTACTAGCTAATAGTTGTCTTTTTTTATTATTTGCTTAGTGAGGAGTGGAGTCCAACTGGGTCCACTGGGCACGGCGGCCACTGATTGGCCTATTGTAGCCTGCCCAGGGTGATTATGATGATAGAGCAANGTCTGGAAGTAAACACTGAGAAAACTAAGTATATGTTGCTATCTAATCACCAAAATTCAGGGCAAAATCATGACATGGAAATAGGAAACAGATGTTTTGAAAACGTGGCACAGTTCAGATATTTGTAAACAAAGATAAGAAATCAAAACCTGATTCAGGAGGAAATTAAGAGGCGATTGAACTCGGGTAATGCTTGCTACCATTCAGTCCAGAACCTACTGTCTTCTCGTCTGCTGTCCAGAAACAAAAAATTAGCATATAGAAAACTATAATCTTGCCTGTGGCTCTGTATGGATTCGAAACTTGGTCTCTGACATTAAGGGAGGAACATAGAGTGAGGGTGTTTGAGAACAGGGTGTCGAGGAGAATATTTGGACCGAAGAGAGATGAAGTGATAGGAGGTTGGAGAAAACTGCATAATGAGGAGCTTCATAACTTGTACTCTTCTCCAAGTATAAGCAG